CGTTATAAAAATTTTAAAGTTATATTCTTTTCTTCAAAAATACAGATTTTTTAATTCTTTCGTTATCATATTTGGTTCATAAAATCATTAAAATTACGTCAAAGTTATCAGCAATGTATATTAAATTGCGATGAAAATGTTAAAGAAATATTAATATAGAATTCAATATATATGTACTTGTATATTATAGAAAAACAGAAAAAATGAAAATTTTGTAATTTTCTCATGATATTTACTTACAAAATAAGATGTGTACGTAATAATTGCGGGTTAGGTGTAGCGGAGGGTAGTATATCTAAATTACATACCTCTAATGTCTACCCATTTAGCGAATTTATCAAGACGAAGTATGGCAAAGTTTAACAGTGCCATGTGACGCCGCGGGATAGTAAAGATTAAGGATGTCGCACACAGTGTCATTCTAAGTGCATGCAGGATTTCAAAGATGATAAACCTCAAAGGAATTTCAAATTAAAGCGAAAGAAAGTCAGACATGCTCTTTAGAATTCGCTCGAAACCCAACGAAACAAAATCATATTTAAGCTCCTGTGAAATTGGGTCGCAGGTAGTTTCGGTTACCTCGCTGAAATACATTTTATATAAAACACCGCCAAGTAAGATCTAAATAAGTAAACAAACATTGAGTATATTTTAAAGTCATTTAAATTGCACAATTCTGCGTAATTAACTTGGAATTATGCTAAGTAGAAACTTCTTGCATGAAAATTCTTCGGTAAAATTTCTTCCGATGCAACGAGTGAAAAGATTTCACTGAATCTCTTTGCCTTTCTAGAAGTAAAACTAAAGACAAATTTTTTTAAATAATGTCCTCGAAAGAACGAAAAATATAGAAATAAAATTTTCAAAAATTAAAGGCTATGGAATACATAATAATTTGTGAAAATCCATACAAAAATTCTCTGTATATGAAATAACGGACCCTTCTCGAGCTATTGAAAATCCGCAAATTTAGGAGGACGCAAATACCCGAAATTTCCGATTCTCCCTATGAATACAAATGTCCACGACGGAGGGATCGTCTAATGTAATATCTCGTGCTTATCTCGCGCGCAATATTCCCGTGTCGTAAGTCTCGTCGGTGTGCGGCGAGCTTTAAGCTCGGCACTTACCGAGGAAAGTACTGCTGCTCTGAATCACTGGCAGCACACGGCGATATTCTTTCTGATCGATGCGCTCGCGACGATACGGCGCCTGCAGTCCGTCCTTTCAGATACACGCCCGGCATTTCGAGCGAAAACCGCATTGATGCGCACCGGAGAAAACCGGGGTAGGACTGATGATGATTGAGCTCTACGCGTCGGGTTGGTCGGATCGATCGATCGAGAAATGGAGATCTCATTGTTTTTACGAGACTAGATCGGATGAGGTGGGACGAGTACTGGGAGAAAATGCGTACATATGAGGGAGATTAAAATCGAAAATTGAAATGCTTCATTAGGACGAATTTTCGACAAATATGTGGAGCAATGTTTTATAATAAAAAGTACCTTTTTTCAATTAAAAATATGTATGGGAAATAATGGCAAGAAAATTCGCGAGATTAGATAGGATGAAAAGATGGAACATTCGTGCAAATATTCCACGCAATTTTGAAAAATCTTTGATACGTTAATTGTCAAAATTAAAAAGATATTGCGATAAATATGTATTAAAAATGAAAATACAGTTAATATCGTGTTGTATTAACAGTAGAATAATAGAAGGAAGGAAAAGAAATAATAAAAATAATGAAACACAGAGAGAATACATGACACATTAAATTTGGTTCTAATCGTTTACTATCCCAGTTTTCCATAATGGATTTCTAGTGTAGCGGATTTAATAGACGTTTTGATACCACATGACATCGACATTGTTCCGCCCGTCAAAATGCTGCAGCAAGAGAAAATGCACCAGCTGCGATATAATAAACTTATGCGCGTACGTTCATAAATATTGACAGCCGGCCGACATAATTATTAATTACCACATAATTACTCGCACATTTTATTGGGGCCAAATTTGCTTTGTGGAAAATAGAATGTGACAAGTGGCTTATGAGCTTGCTGCGTGCATTAAAATTCTTTGACGATATATTATGCGAATTATAATATTGCGATATTATAATAATGGCAATATACTTATGTAACATTGTAATTTTATGCTTCGTATATAGTTGCGAATAATTAAATTAAATCAAAATTAAAACAATCAACGATAAAATGCATTGAGAATTGTAAAATAATTGGGCGAATGCAATTTATCCGCATTTATTAACGGATCTTTAATAATATAATACTGAAATATAAAGTACAAAATTCACGTACTAGTAGTTTAAATAAATATAATTACGATAAACACAAATTTTTCAAGTAAAAATATTGCTTCTAGATATGTTCTAGATATGTTTATGGAAATCTAGTTTAGTTATATTTATATTATATAATCTTTTATATTTAAGTATACATTTACTTTTCTCCAAAATAAAGATTTCATTAAAAATGTTAAAATTATATAATACTAAATAAATATTGGTTAATAAATATGATATATAACTGTATCGTATTTACCAAATTTATTAAATAATGTTTACGCAGAGCATCATAATTTTGATATTTTTAATGAAATCTTTGTTTTAAAGGAAGGTAAATGTGTATTTATTAAATATAGAAAATTATATGATAAATATGTAAAACTAAATTTCTATAAATGATATATATAAAGATAACATTATTACTTGAGGAATTTAATGTAATCTTACTTATTTAAACTGGAACTACAAGAATTTTTTCTATATTTTATATTATTAACTTCTATATTTTATATCATTAACTTCTACATTTTATTACTAGCTTCTACATTTTATTATTAGCTTTCTACTTTAATCATTCTAATTGATCGAACTATTCTAAAATCACAAAATATAACTTTTATAAGTTCCTCGCATTCCATAATTATTGGTTTTTTATATTTCATTTACATTTTATTTCATTTCATTAATGTTTCATTGCTTTACTACAATTTACAATTATTTCAAGTTTCAAATTTATTGTCAAAGAGAAATGCAAATAAACTATTTTCCAATTAATTTCACGATTATTGAATATGTAATGGAAACTACAAATTATTTGAAAATATATATCAGTATATAATGAAAAAATAGAAATTAAAATGTAAAGAGAGCTTTTCTTGCAGCATAAATTGCAAGAAGACATCATTTAAAATGAGAAGGATAAATTATAATATATAAAATCTCTTTTCAATACAATAAAGTCTCTTAAAATTTTAACAGCGGTAGAAAATTGTCAATTTATATAACATGCAGATATTGCCACAAAAATGATTTATTATTATTTACGATATTCACAATATAATTTATAAAAAAATATGTAACCGAAAAATATATTAGAGCTGTATAAACAGCGCGTAGATAAATTTGTTCGCTTTTTAAAGATAAGTTAGATAAATAAAAAGATTATGAAAAAGAGATTAGGATGCTGGAACGAGACATGATTAAACGGCCGGAACATCGTCGTCTCTACAATACGTGGACGGAAACTACGAGGTAGATTTGAACGGAAATTCGCATTAATCCGCGACATCGTGTACTTTTCGTTTGCCGCCGCCTCCCTCGTCGGTCCACTATCCGCTTTTCGCTTCATTTCTCCGGCTCGCGTTATGATACGGCAGTATTTACCGAGATGGCATATGGCCAAGCGGAAAGGGGAAGCAGGGGTGGTTACTACTTGGCCATTTTTGCCCGATGCGCCACGACTGGACATCGGAAACGCGAAAAGCTATCGTACATCTCCCAGTTTAAATGGTACATATAACTCTAAATGCGACTTCGACGCAATTCTCTTCTCGCTTGTACGTATATAACTCGCGCGATTAAATTCTGCGGAAAATAATTTACCTTGCACGTGTCTCGCCATCGTTGCACCATTCCTCGATTCGTTCAATTGGAAAAAGTCTGCGTTTCTGCGACCAACAATGAGGACTTGCTCTTTTATTTCGCCATTTTTTCGAGTATTTTTTTTTTACCCAAGATTGCATCCGTCACTTTTATCAGCTGACATTAACTATAACAGAAAAAAATTACAATGTCTCATTCGCAAAGAGAGTGCTGGATAAATTGTTATTTTGTTATCAGTTTATACATGTTTACTATTTCATACATCGCCATTATAATTTATACAAGTTTATAAATACTGTAATATTTGAAGCGCAAATATTTACTAATGATGTGTATAAAATATCGTATTTTCCGTAATTTTAATCTTTTACATCTATTTATTTATCGTAGAAAATATATTAGTTAAACAAAAACGATCAACAACGTACTTTTGCGCTATTAAATGTCATGCAAAGTGCTGATATTATTTTATCATCAATTTATTATATTTATATAATATTAAAACGTTATATACATTTAAAAATGTTGTTATCAGGCGCATGGTTTATTTACACATGATTCATATTTATATTATTATTTCATGTATCGTCATTATAATTTATACAACTTTATAAATACTTGAAGCGCAAACAAATATTTACTAATAACATATAAAATATCGTATGTTTTCCCTTTAATGTTTTTCTTTTTAACCTATTTGTTTTATCATGGAAATGTGCTAATTAATTAAACAAAAACGATCAATGTACCTACTTACTTTGCGCTGTTAAATCATGAAACCGCTTGAAATGTAGGATCAATTTGCACGAAACTTCAACGATATCCATTATTGCATAATTGCGCGAATGCAAATTTTGCGATAAATTGGTAAGCTTTGTTATCAGATACGTGGCAAAATTGACACTAGATACGCGTAATGTTTGATGTAACATCAGCGGAGAATATTCTGGCGGGAATCTAAGAAAATTTGCGCGCAAAATTATCGCGCGAGCGCTGCCATCTGGAGGAGAGAACGTGGAACTGCGTGGCTAAAATAGCGGATCGCGCGCCATCTAGCCGCGGTTGCGTAAAACAAAATTAGACAACTTTTTAACCTCAAATTCGCGCGTGTGATTGCACAAGTCCAGGGCAGTTCCACGGTTACCCAACATCTACTTCGCAAGGAAAGGGCGATGAGCGATGCCGAACTCCAGGAGGAGGAGAGAGAAGTATTGCTCTCGATATATGACGGCGATTCTGCTTTTAAGCAGTTGACACCCACGACATTTCAATACAAGGTACGAGAATCGCTTTCACGCTTCCTGCTTATGATAACTTTGTCATGATTAAATATTTTTGTATCCTGAGAAATAATTTAGCATACAAAGAGATGGATGTAAGGGAGATTCCATCCTTTGCAACTCTTATTTCTACTCGATTATAGCTGTTCATTCCCCTCTCTTCATTCAGTTTCAATATTTGCTAGCTTTAATTTTAATTACAGAGTAAGAAACAATTTTAAACAAATGTATTTTTAAATATAAATGTATTTTATTTAACACGTTCAACTTCAATCGCGTCAAAATAAATATTATTATATATAGATTGTTTAGATAATGACAATAATTGTTACGCAGTATGGTGAGGATAATGATATGAAATCATTTCTACTGGAAATATCATGGGGTGCGACATATCCTACAGAGAAACCAACTATCAATATGGACACATTTTACAATAAACATATGTAAGTGCAAACAAGCAGCCGCTCGATTATTTTTACATTCAATTACTTTGATTAAAGATGAATAATTGGAATATACAGTGTGGAAGAGGTAAAGGACAAGGTAGTGAGTCTTATAGAGGCAGAGGCTGAACAATGGTTAGGTAGTGCTATGACCTATACGTTATTTCAGTCTGTCCAAGAACATTACGCAGATTTAGTGTCTATACAACCAGACTCAATCGTCGATATAAATTCGCAAACTAGTAGATTGAAGATTACAGATGAGAATCAACAGGTATATAAATATATATATTATGCAACATGCTAATATATTGTTAGAAAGAGTAAAGTAAGATAGAGTAAAATGATGTGATCTAAGGTCGAGGAAACAATAAAAAAGCCCAAAAAGGAACATTTAAGTAAAGCACAAAAACGTAGACAATGGAATAAAGCAGATGGCAAAGGTGAAAGACCACGTGGATGGAACTGGGTGGATATAGTAAAACATCTATCACAGACTGGACCAAGATCAGAACAGGAGTCTTAGTTTGAGTCATCTACATCATTTTGTACAGTAATAAAAGGCATGTTATATTTTCATAAATTGTTGGATATAAAATCAATTTCCTTACATTTATATCTCCTAAAGTCTTTTTTTTTTCTTATAATCAATTTCCTTACATTTATATCTCCTAAAGTCTTTTTTTCTTATTATCATATCATTAGTTTCTTATTATAATATTATGAAAAAGAAATATTATTTTAATATAAACAACATACCGTTTTCAAAGAGTTAATCATTTTTATATATTATCTTTAATAAATGCATTTCTATTTTCCTTCAATTCCCATGGAAAATTTCCAAGCGCCAACTGCTAACAAATTTGTATCTGTTTTCCATCCTAAAATTATTAACAATTATATATGCTTATAATAGCAAATAAAAGATAAAATAAAAAATGCAATTATGTATATATACCATTTACATTCAGATTCTCAAGGAATGTTTTATATTCATTAGAGACAATTAAATCTGTAGCACAGATACTTTGGATAGGTATCGACAATTGCGTATTGCTATTTGAATCCATAAATTTTTTATAAAGAATATATGTATTTAGCAATGGGTATGATGGTTCAGATGTTTCAGATTTCAATAATAAATCCTTTGTAACATTAAAATATTTATATAATAAATTACATTATACTATATTTATAACAAGTAAAAAAATTAATATATATGAACACTTTTGCTACTTACGATCGGGATTTTTTTTGCAATACAAATGTAAAATCCACACATGGAAGCATAAAAATATGCTTCCAGTATTTCAGTAGCTTGTATATCTTTTTTAAGAATTACAAATATATTCCGGTTTTTGACATCTATTGCTATCAAATATTTTCTGTCCTCAAAAAACTTTAACAAAAATTCCATTTCCATGGATGAAATTACATTTTTCCTTAAGACACTTGCAAATGAAACACCAATTTTGATATTAAATCCACATATACTTTTGGCTGAAAATAATATTCACAATTTTTGATACAATTTTTTTATATGATGAAAAGACATAGTTGTAATATCTTACTAGGATTGTCAAGTAGAGATACTGATTCTTCTTTATTTAGTCTCTTTGGTTCAGGAATTCGTTCGTTTATCATATAATATTTAATGATTAAGGCCAGGCGATCTTCATTAAGTATATCTAAACACAGCACTTTAACCGCCGAATAATTCGCATAGAGATGGACTGCCACCAGGAAGAGATATAATTCTATTAAATATCTATATGTATATGACTTCATCATTATTATAATAGCATAATAATATAATAGTAAAATACATAAATATATACAGTTACATACTGTCTATCATGGAACAAAGATAATATAAAGATTCCAATGAATGATGCTATTAGATTTACACACATCTCTTGACTTCCGTCTTTTGCAGCAACATCAGCCAGATTATTTCTTATTGCCTGACAGAAAAATAATATTAATAAAAATTATAATGCTCGAATTAATAAGTTATTCACCTGATGTTGAGTCAATGCTACTCTCGTAGCTCCACCAGCAACACCGACCATAGACTTCATAATGGTGGAAATACACAGGATTACAACGGAATATGATGAAAAATATGACACAAGTAATTCCATTCCTGCTGCCATGTCATTCAGAATATCAGCAAATAGCCTCCATTTTTTGCATTGTCCATCCAGTTTGGTTCTATAATAGAGAAAGAAACATTTTAATTAAACATTGATCAAATTTTACAACTACAAATGTATAACAAAAATATGTACTGAAGAGTATCCATGAATCTATTCATTACCCATTCCACCATGCAAACATTATACTACCGACCATCCCTGCACCATTTTTCAAAATCCACGTTATTGCTGCTGCCAAAGGTGTAGCATTTGACTCTCCAACTCCTATTCCTATCATTATAGAATGAGTTGCAAGTGTGTTCATTATAGTACTCGCAGAAGCCTGTAAAATATAAATTTAGTCTTCATAAATCATTGATAACATTTCTCACTGGATAATATAAAAGAGAGTCTTTATAAATTTCTTTGTGATAGAATTTTATCACTTTATTATTGATGCAGTGAAACATATATCAAAAGTTTACTTGACTGAATTTGAACTAACCTGTATTGTATCCCATATCTGATATGCCGTGTAATCAGAATGCACACTGTCTGGGTATCCTTGTGGCAGAAATATCTCTTTAACAATGGACACGATTCGGGAACAAATGGATTGCTTTTCAGTCGAGTTAAATCTCATCTCATTCACTCCAGAACCATCTAACCAACAGGTATCATGCGGATTAATATACGATTAGGTTATTAGATATATATAAAAGTAATTTTCTTGATGTTTTAGAAAGAGAGAAGATACTATGAAAAAATTTTACCTTCTGATTTTACGTAAATCGTCTCTTTTTCATTTCCGTAGCTTTCTCGAAATAAGACATGCATGTTTATCAAGGAGGGATTATCACGCTAAAAATTTGTTTGCTTGGTTTTGCTGAAATTTTGCTCTTTCTCTCTCTCTCTCTTTCTGCTTGTTATTTTTAAATAATCCTTGTTTATCACTAATATTTCATTTTCACTTCGTGAAGATAACGAATAAGCGGATAAATTAATGTAAATTGCCTTTCTCTTGAAAATTCTTTGCGGCTCATGCTCCACATCTGCGATCAGCTGTTCATCAGCTGTTCAGCTGCGCTTTTTCCCCGCTACCAAATATTACACAGGCATCACCGATAATTCCATTTAATTCAACGATGCACGAATCTAATTTTTCTTTCATTTTATTCGCGATGCTTTCTCTTTCAAAATTTATAATTATTTTTTTCCGTTTCAAATTTATTTTACGATCAAAAATATTTACATTTCGTTCATGCTCGCGTTTACGAACATCATTCATTAAATTATTTTCGTAATTGCATTCATCAGTTTCTTTTTTATTATTTTCAGAATCATCATCGGTGATATTGAAATTACGTGACGATCTGTATTGCTGTGCTTTTGGATTATCGTTATTACGTATTAAAGCTTTACTCGGCCACAATTTTTCAAGAGGATTTATTTTCGGATTGTTATAGTTTTTTCGATTCTTATTATTCTTGTCATCTGCGTTTTGTGATCGTACGAACAATATTTTATGATTCATTCCACGTCCACAAATAATTTTTCCTATTTTCTTCATACCATTTTCAAACCTTTTCTTTTTCGTATCTGTATCATTTAATTTTACATTACGAGATTCCTTGCGAATTGCTGTCGCATCTAACGATTCGTTCGCTTGGTTTCGTGATCCGATATAAAATTTCTTTTTATTCGATGGAGCTTCTTTCCTCTCCAGTTTTTGCGTCAAATTATATTTCTTCGCATTCGATTTCGATTCGAAACAGTTCAGAAGAAATTTCTTGGTGTGATTTTGACATCCGATCGAGGAGTATTGTACGCCTCTGGAGATCCTTTTCCTTTTAATTTTTGATACAGTAACATTCGGAGTATCATAGTCGCAATACATATTATTGACGATGTCATTTTGATGCTCGTTGGCTCTCTTTAATTTTTCATCGGCAACGCATGAAATTCTTATATCTCCGATATCTCTTATATTTCTCGATCTCCCATTGATTTCTTTTCCAAATTTTTCTGCGTCCGAAATGGACTTTCGATACATTCCCGTCGCTTCAGACACGCGCGATCTATTTGGCCGTTCATCATCTTCGATTGATTTATCGTCACGCGGATAATCCTCTTTAAATACGACCGCCTCGTTCGTCGCTTTTACTTCCAGCGCACGTTTCGTGAATGATAAACGAGCGGATAAATCAGTGCCGCCTGGCGAATCGTCTCCTTTAAAATTTCTTTGCAGCTCGTACCGTGCATCCGTTCGTTTTCCCACGTTTTTCGTCAAATCGTTAAATTCCGATGGTATCAGACTAAGAAATCAAAATCGTTTTTCATGCATTAATAGATGATAAAACATGCATGCATGAAAACACATGTGAATTGTAGTTTGCCTGGATGATTTTAAATGGAAAAATTCGACAAGATAAAAAGTTTAATCATATTTGAAGAATAAAATTAACGAATGATATTTTCGAGATTAATTTTTCAACGAGAGAGAGTTTGAAGTTGATTTTATAAAAATTATCTCAAATTTATATAACATTTAAACATTAAGTCTAATTATATATTATTTTTATAATTACTTATATTTTATATTAATTATATTAATATTTGTTTATTTGTATATTTACAAAAAATTTTGTTGGCAAGAATATTTTTTAATTTCTCATTTATTACCTTGGTGAATTACTTGCTACGGTTAAATAAATTTCATTTTCGTTTTTAAAGGCAATAATTTCCTTTCGTAATTGTACAATTTTGTTGTTCAATTCAGCTACAGCGATGGCGATAATATCAATATTAATCTCTGAGTTCTCAAATAAATGAAACAGATCGGAAGTTGTATTACAACATGCATCCATCAGTTATTTTTTATGGCTATTTATTATGTAATATATCTAAAGGAAGAAAATGAGTAATAATAATATAATATTTAATATTTTAGTCCATGCTTATATCTATACGTAGATAATAATATAAACTTTTAATATTTTTAATAATATATCTAAATAATATATCTAATTAAGTATACTTACATATGTCAAAAAATGTTACTAATTTGAAAGATTGATAGGAGAGGCTATGGAAACCTCTATTAATGGTTAGATTAATTTCTTATAAATTATGATCAAAATACAATGAATAAAAAGAAAATTCTTGTCAAAATTTAATGCATATTTTGTAATATTTTAGTTTATTGTCAATTGTAGAGGGACAAATTGCGAAATCGTCACATATTTTATATCTGTTAAGTATAAACTGTTATTTTATCAAGGACTATACGGACTTCACATTTTATTAAAAATCGCACATAAATTATTTTTTGTGTTGAATTACTATGATCTCAGAATATTAAAAAGAGGCTATGTATGTACATTATATATCATTCCCATATGTTTATAATTGAAAATAAATGTTGAGAATAAAAAATATATATGAATATGTTTTTTAAAAAACTTTTTACTGACATTGCGTAATAACTCGTTTTATAATTTTGCTTTGCATCATCCAGGTGATTGTCCTGCATCATTTTTATACTTTCGTACACTGGATTCAGGATCATAATCTCGAATGACACTTCAGCAACGAATCATCATGAATATGTTTTCCGATTGTTCTTTTTCTCATATAAGATTTTTTTTTAAGATGCACGTTGTCATAATATTATCGATTAATTTATATATGATTGTTAAATGCTTGTAAAAATAAGTAGGTCAGTCCTACCAACGGATGAGTAACTCTTTACCGTAAGTCCGCAGTACGTTACGGAGTTCTTCGAGTCCACTAAGGAAACGTGAGGAACGTCACGTACGATTGGCAATCTTAAAGTGTTGTAACTTTCTCGTTAATCATATTATAAACATCGTTTCTGACATACATAAACATTAAAGACCCTCTAATAGAGGATCTTTAATAAACATTATTCTTCAGTGAAATCTCAATTGATCGAAATTAGTCCAATTTTTGATTTTAGTGACACTAAAATTTTGCAATAAAAACAAAATATTTAACATATTAATTAATGAATTCATAAGAAAACGATTCATGTAATAAAAATTTCCAAAATTGAGCTCATCTTAATAAAATTATAAATAAAACTTACAACATGATTGCATTGAGATTATCGCAGAGTTTAAAGAAATTTCACGTATATTAAACTAAAAAACAAAATTATGTATTCCAGAGGAAATTTTTTTTGTTTCCAAGTCTTAAATTTGTATTTCAAATTTGATTATTTAACTCGGAAACATCCTGTATATACATATACACATATATAAGCATGCATATGCACAAGTTCTTTCCTTTGGGAAAAAGAAAAATTTCAAGAAAATTAAGAAACAATTTTTTTCGAAAAAAGAAACCTGCTGGCAAGAGTAGTAACTATCAATTTATTCGAATTATTTTATTTCTATTAATCTTTTGCATTCCGATATCTCCCACGTGTTATTATCCAATTGAAACCGTTTTCTAGGAAGGTGGGTAGGGAACAGCAATGGGGAAACGGGACCAAGCAGGCAATCAGAAGGAAGATCGGTTCACCGATATACACCGGACAAAGAGAAAAATCGAAAGAGAAAGAGAGAGGCGAGTCGATGACCGTTATACGTCACATCTATGGAAGAGACTGGAAACCTTTCTGTGTATATACCGGCTGATATACCATTGCAATGAAGTACAGGCAAGTCAAGGCTGAAGCAAAGTCATGGTCAGTGTTACTCTATTCTTCGAGTTATGTGATTCAGATATTTTGTCTTTATCGATCATTTATAAATTTTCGTCGATCGATCGATATCATCTCGTGAAGACATCTCATGATTTAAATTGATGCAATTATGCATTGGAAGAATCATTTTTCTTTTCGAATAATCACATTTTTGCTTGTCAAAATTTTTTATTGACTATATTGTTGATGGTGTAATAATGTCTACGTTGGTATTGTTAGATCCGTTTCCAGTGCCTTAAAATATAAAGAGAGCAGATTAATCTTGACACAGTTTGAATGAGGACAGGAAAAAGAGGTAAGCAAAAATCTAATTATGGTAAATACGATGTATGTATACTTGTTGTGTGTGTATGTGTGATCTGTTTAGCGTAAGCATTTTACATTGCATTTCAGACATGATTCTTTTAAATGCATATAATGACATCATTTTTTATAATGTCTTCGCCATGTTTTAATTTCTACAATTTAATTAATTAAAATGTAAGTTATTATTTCCAATAATAAAATTAACAATTATCGTTTTTATTTTGTCATGAATTTCATATTTAATAAGTATTTTCATACTTTAAACTTATGTTAAAACTATTTTTCCCTTCCAAAAAAATTGATTATTGAAAAAAAAGCTAAAATGTAAGTTTTATTTATACAATTTTGGAAATATATATATGTCAATTATAATTTATTTCATATATTTATAATCATACACGTAACATACTCGTGTAAATAACACACACACACACAAATATATGTATAATTAAACATGAAAAAATTTCACATTAAAAGATAAAAATGTGAAATGTTACTTGTAGAGGATCAAACAGGTTTCTAATACAAACTAAATGATTTTAGAAGAAGAACTGGTTTACTTGCTTCCTGAAAAACGAATATTTTACTAGTTACTATTTATATAATTAATTCTATTTATAAAATTAAAAATAAATGATAATTTTATATACATATAATCAGTTATAATAATGATTGTAATTCCAAAATATAGATTTATATAATTGGGATAATTTATAGCATTTCCACTGTCATATATTTTCCATTTTATAAACGAAATTAATTATATTATTACTATATAGCAATTATATCGTAAAATAATCATTTTTTAGGAAGCAAGTAAACTGCAGTTTTTCTTTTCAAATCGTTTAGTTGTATTAGAAACCTCCCAAGTAGCGAGATTACGTCTAAAGATGTCTTAATGACGTACTATGACGTCTTGAAAACCATATTAAGATGTCATTCTGCCACCTGGGCCACCTTTAATCTTTTACAAGCAACATTTCGCATTTTTGTCTCTTAATGTAAATTTTTTCATTTTTAATTATCTATTATTTAAATATCTATAAATAATGACATCTTTCTGATTTAAATAAATTTCATTTCACTTGTTTTAAATGCCATTTAAATAAGAAGGATTTAAATAAATAAGAATAATTACTTAATCCATGTCAATTGTTAGAGATAAAATGTATATCAATAATCGAATTCAAATATATTATAAAATTACTGAACATATTTTTTATTAGAGGCAAAATTCCATATATAATTTTAAATGATAAAGCAGTGATTTTTTTAAAACTAAATTTTAACTATAATAGCTAAAAAACACGAGGGTTTGCACGTTCTAATATGCATCTCTCTTTGAAATGTAAATAAAAAAGAGTATCTCTCTTTGAAATGTAAATAAATTTTGTGTATAAATACAATTTTTAAACATTCTTTTGTGTACGTCAAAGTTAGTTTAAAATTATTTAACAGTTGAAAGTTTCACGAGTAATTGATATTCACTTCGCGTCGAGATCGTTCAATCTGAGCCAGGTGGATTGGCTCTTCGTCAATTTCTAATGTGTGTGGTTGCGTACCTATCAGTTTTATTTCAACAGTACAGCGAGTCGGTCTACATTATGATCTGCCTGTTATAATACGGAAAAGACATAACGATAGTATTGATGAGAGTACATGTGAAGAGGTGCTAAAATTATCTGGAACAAATTTATCCGGATTTTAATGATGCAAATATTTACTTATGTGTGTTTATAATTTTAAATTCCAGCTCACTAGTCCAGTGCACTAGTAAGAAACGTTACAGTAAAATAGAATGGGTGTCGAAAGCATTTTAGCAGGAAGTTTGGCTTCAGCCACCAATGGGCTGTCATGGTTCTTTCCAATTCTTGCTGCAGTACTTGTATACTTCCAATATGAAGCCTTAAACGATGAAGCGCCGCTAATCGATATGCCATCGGAAGTGCTATTGCCTACGTATCATTTTATAGTAGTAGGTGGTGGTAGCGCAGGTACATTTATCAGAAATTTTCATCATTAACACATAATTCATAACATATAATCACACGTAAATATCTTCTTTTCCATGACATCAGGAGCTGTAGTTGCGAATCGTCTATCCGAGATCGAAGATTGGAATGTATTATTACTGGAAGCGGGTGGTGACGAAACGGAGATCTCAGATGTGCCTTTACTTGCCGCTTATCTTCAGCTTAGTCAATTGGATTGGCAGTACAAGACGGAACCACAGGGTGATGCCTGCTTAGGTAATTTTCGTAATTTTTTCATTAATTTTTTCTCTCTTCTTTTTTCAGTAATTTTTTCTCTCTTCTTTTTTTATTAAAATTCATTTCTTTCTCTTCTTCTTTTTCATTTATATATTATAAATACTTTTAGCGATGGAGAATAATCGTTGCAATTGGCCACGTGGCAAGGTGATGGGTGGCTCATCAGTGCTGAACTATATGCTCTATATTCGTGGCAATATGCGTGATTACGATATATGGGAGCAGCAAGGTTGTACCGGCTGGGGTTCACCTGGCGTCTTGTACTACTTTAAAAAGAGCGAGGACAACAAAAATCCTTATTTGATTCGCACTCCGTATCACGCCAGCGATGGATACTTGACAGTGCAAGAGGCTCCGTGGCACACACCTCTGGCGACAGCCTTCGTTCAGGCCGGCCAAGAAATGGGCTATGAAAACCGTGATATTAACGGCAAGTACCAGACCGGCTTCATGATCGCCCAGGGTACCATCAGACGTGGCAGTCGATGTTCAAGTGCGAAAGCTTTTCTCAGGCCGGTCAGAATGAGAAAGAATTTGCACGTGGCAATGCATGCACAAGTGACTAAAGTGCTGGTGCACCCCGAATCAAAGCGTACTTATGGAGTAGAATTCATGAGAAACGGTAAGATGTTTCGTATACGTGCGAGCAAAGAGGTAATTTTATCTGCTGGCGCGATAAATTCACCGCAAATTTTGATGTTATCCGGAATCGGGCCAAAGGAACATTTGCAGGAGCTTGGAATTCCCGTGCTTCAAGATAGCAGAGTTAGTGCAAGAATTTTAATATTCTTTTGAGATTATTTTCTATTTTAAAAATATTCATTACAACTTTACACTATATTAAAAATCCTCCTCCAAATTTTTCCAACAATTTCTATTCTATTTATTGCAAATTTCTTGCTCTTCTAGGTCGGCTATAATCTCCAAGATCATGTTGGAGTAGGCGGACTCGCATTCTTGATCAACCAGAAAATATCTATAGTGCAGAATCGATTACAAAATATACAAACAGCAATGCAATATGCTATTCTGGGTGACGGGCCCTTGACGATATTAGGCGGTGTGGAAGGTGTTGCTTTCGTAAACACCAAATACATGAATGCCTCGCTAGATTTTCCCGATATTGAGCTGCATTTCGTCTCTGGCTCGACTAACTCGGATAGCGGTGTGCAAATTAGAAAGGTACATGGCTTAACGAAGAAATTTTACGATGCAGTTTTTGGGCCGATCAATGACAAGGATACTTGGAGCGTGATTCCTATGTTGCTGCGTCCAAAAAGTCGTGGGATGATCAAACTACGCAGCACGAATCCGTTTGATCACCCCCTCATCTATCCGAACTATTTTAAAGAGCCGGAAGACATGGCCACATTGATCGAAGGAGTAAAGATCAGCGTGGCTCTGAGCAGAACCAATGCCTTCAAACGATTCGGAAGCGAATTAAACCCGCGGCAGTTTCCAGGATGTGAACACATCCCCATGTTCACCGATCAGTATTGGGAATGCATGATCAGATACTATAGCGTAACTATTTATCACCCCGTTGGCACTTGCAAAATGGGACCTTATACAGACCCTGAAGCCGTTGTTGATCCACAGCTCAGGGTCTACGGTGTGGCTGGGCTTCGCGTAATCGATGCCTCGATCATGCCGAATCTTGTGAGTGGAAATACAAACGCACCGGTAATCATGATTGGCGAAAAAGGCGCAGACATGATTAAAGAATATTGGTTGAAACAGAAGATGTTTAATAAATGATAAAATATCTTAAGATTACTTATCGAATGCGTGCGCTTGTATTAAGTCATCAACGAATATATTAAAGAAATTATAAATTAATTAGATATTTTATAATAAAACGATTAATAAACAACAACAAAGAATAGCTTAGAGTTGTTTATAAATATTTAAATTATGACATTTATTTAGGTTTTTTGCAATATTCACTCTCAGATTATTGTAAGATTTTTGTAAAAAAGAAAGTTGTGTAAAATGTACTAGATATATAAAATGTTATTAAAAAAAGAGAGAGAATGAATTAATGAATGAATAAATATATAATACAGCGTTGTAATACAACGTTAATTGCATTGCAACGTTAATTGTATTACATTCCATGACGTCTAGATAAATGTAAATATGTTATTTTAAATACAAGCATTATATTATACGTTTTTATTATTTACGAAAATATAAATATATTATATGTTTCTATTATTTACGAAAAAATAAATCTTATAATTAATATTAGTAAATGCTCGGCTATTTGATTGACTCGGCTACAAGTTTTTGTATTTGAATCTTAAGTCTATTTTATGTAACTTAAAATATGCGAGAATATGTACTTACTTTCAAATTATACATCGCATTAAATATACTGTCAATTGAATATGCGAAATTAAAATATTAAATTGAACTTTTTTACATTTCTATTTTTCAATGTCTTCAAAACTATTAATATAGAAACAACAGAGATTACTAATCGCTAATCGATGACATGTCTCGCCAGCAAATAACATCGCATCTCGCTTAGTGTCAAAATGTGAACGATCTTCACACTGAAGATCGTTCGACCGCATTTTGTGAAAGGATTAAATTTTCAAGGCGGAAAAATATAACATCTAATATAAAAATAACATTCAAGATGTAATTGTGTATCATCGAAACTCCGATATGGCCAAAGATAGTATCGACGATATCCTGGTGCGTCTCGATGAGATCGAGAAACTACAAGCGGAACTTCGGCATTTAGTACCACGAGTCACGAGTAACTCATCCAGACATGTCAGACACCAGGATTTATCTCGCGATACGTCCGCATCGATACGCTTCCCATCCCTCTACACGTTCCCTGTAATTTCGAATCTTACGTCATCCTCCAGAAACGAGCACAAGTCGGCCGCGCAATTGAATCTCAATGACAAATTGTCGAGCGGTAATCAATCCTCGACAGTGAATCTGAAAAACGCGCGAGTATCTGATCAGCGCGAATCATCCGCAAGAGGAACAAATATCTTCAAGAATCTATTAAAAAACACCGATAAAAATGTTGCGAGATTGCGTGCGGGAAACTCCATGGCTTCAACTTCCGTAGCGAATTCGCAAACGACGTCGACGACGCCGACGAAAGGCATGAATCGCGTGGTCAGGGATTCGCAAGAAGCAATTGGAAAAAAATTAAGGAACAGGGCATCCAAGTTCATAGCTAGAGATAAAATGCAGCGTATAAATGGCGAGAGATCGAGCGTGCGGCTATCTGAAAATCAAAGTACTATGAATTCAGTAAATGGTGTAGAATCTATTTATTTTGATTAATTTATTAAATCATTAATTTTTTATTATTTATGTAATTGTTTATATGTATGTAATTTATGTTAATATAATATAATTTATTTTATTTTATTTTATTGTAATTAATAGAATTATTTTTAATATAATTAATTGATAAGATATAATATAATTTATATATATAATATACACACACACAAACAATATAAAATGTGTATACAGAGTGTCCATCAATTTTTAACAGCTTATATATACTACAGATTATATATATAAATATTTAACGAATTAATCGAACGAATGCATTCCGATTCATCTTTTCGTTTGGTATATATAAATATTTAATTCACTATTCGACTGATTGCATTTCGACTCGCTTTTTTATTCGATATATATAAATATTACACTTAAATGTGTGACTCCAAGAAGTAGATTTCGGATATTCACTGTAAATCAGCCGCTCCTCGGGCGATTGGAACGAGATTTAAACGGTAGTGCCGCGAAATGGTGTAGAATTTTATGCAAAAAGAATGAAATCGCTATCGCATCCGGAAGTCGAGATATAAATTGGCCGTTTTTCGTCTGCGCGCGGACGGTCGAAATCGTGCATGACGCCGCGCATGCTGTCTGCCTCTCTCGCGCGATATTCACTGTAACGCGGCGAGTAAAATGGCAACCTGTATACATCATATAATAATACACAATATAATAAATAAATATATCACAATATAATAAAAGAAAAATATAAAAATTTAGAATTTATTGCTTTTTTTGAAGCGCAATTTTTCTTAGTTTCTTTCAATTCACAGTACGCTCATCTGTGCAGACACCCGCCATTCAAATTCACATGGCAGAAACGGCGAAACCGCGAGACGTACAATTATGTCTAAGAAGAAGACGGAGTAGTGATAAAAAAGAAATATTAATGGGAACGTTTATCAAGCGAATTATGAAGAAATTTAATTACTGCTTTGTGAACGGTGACAGAGTAACCATTCCGTATCATTATCCGGGAAATGGAAAACCTAGAAGAGTACAAGAAACAAAATCATTATTCGTAGCGAAAAGTTCCATTGATATTAAAAAATTATAATTATTTAAAAATATTAAAAAACAATAGTTATTTAAAAAAATAATTAAATATACGAAATACAACATATATTTGAAAAGTAAATAAATAATAGAGTAATTTAAAAATTTTTAACAATTAATCATAATGTAAAAGTATTAATATTCTGATTTAAATACTTCTTATTAAATTTGATTGATCATTTTCTGTCATATCACAATTATTATATCATATGTTATGGAATTGCATATCTTCAACACGTAATTTGATATCATCTTAATAGTATATAGTCTATGCCTAAATCAGGTTGAAAGCATCGTATCTATACATGTATACGTCTACGCCTAACAATAAGATTGAACGTATCATATCTACGTTTTGACGCATATCTCGTGATTATTGGCGTTTATCATGCGAAAGATAGTGTTTGACAGTGTGTAATTTTGAGGTTATTTAAAACTCAAAACTATCTACGTTATTATTTACAAACTCGTGCTGTATTATATTGTGTCATATAACGTAAAAGTTATTACTATTTCTTTTAATGAACAGTATAATTATTCGAAAATAATGTAGCTGTGATGCATTCATCGATTATCAAGAAGATGATGTTTTCTTTAGCGAACAATGTCTTTTAGAATAAATTTCTTATATTTTGTGTAATGATATAACTGCATTTACGTTAACGAAAATGGCACTTGTCAATATCGAAGGAATTGATCCTTGGTAATTTATAAATTATGTATAATTATCTTTATACATTATTATATATATTATATATTTGGCTAATCTACATTTTTTTTGCAAAAGTTTTAAATGACAATATTATCTCTATATTTTGTATAATTAATTATTACATATTAATTATTTTAATTTTATTAATCTAAATTTAAAAATTTGATTAAATTTACTGTCAATGTGTTAAATTAGGCTTACTGAATATGACGCATGTGAAAAATTGTTCCGTGAGATTATGGAACAGCTTACACTGCGTGAAGAAGAACCAAGGACATCAAAGCTCTATGCCAGCTTGTCTGCTAATATAAGACTGCGTATGAAACAATATACGCGGGAAGTTCAGCAATTAAAAAGCAAAGTGGAAGAAGCATCCAAGTTGAGAACAATGTATCCTTTTATTCGTATATGTGTATTAATTTTTTCACACTTTAGACTGTTTTGAAATAAGTATGAATTGATAAACTCCTTAAAATTATACAATAGAACACTTGAGGAGGCTGAACGTAGAACAAGACAAGTGGAACAATTACAAAGTAAAAACATTCAATTACAAAAATTGTATGAACCGCATACAAATGATTATGTATCGTCGCGTGCTAGTTTATTAAGAGCAGGTTCATCAGCTTTTGCCGATGGTGGCACAACTTCATGGGCTGTTGATGATGATGATGATGATGACAAACCATTAAATGTACAGGTGTCTGTTAGTGACATTATGAATCATCAAGAGCAAATATTGAAAGGTAATAGTAATTCTTAAAACCAAAGTTAGCCACTATATTTTTCATAACTTACATTGTTCAATTTCTTATAGAACAAGATAAGGGCTTAGAAGAGTTATGTAAAGTAATTACTCGTCAGAAGGAGATTGGACAAACTATTAGCAATGAAGTGGAGCATCAACATGGTAAGTAGTAGTAAATCTTGAATCGAGATAATATATTTTTTCATATAAAAATAAATCTTTTTTAAACTTATGTTCATTGTAATATATAGAAATAATTGATGATCTGGCGGATCATATGGACAGGACTGACGAGTCTTTGATCAACAAAACCCAGCAGGTCCGTAATATTCATTCCAAAGATCGTACATGTGGTTATTGGATTGTGATAATTTTACTTTTTATCGCTATTGTTGTTATTGCTTTAGTATAATAAATTAGATATTCAGTGGATTATTTTGTTTATATTTAAAATATACGAATTAGAAGCTTGAATATTTATAAATAAAATAATAGCAATTTTAAAATAATCTCACAATTGTTCAATTGGATATTTAATATCGTATACAAAATTTTTAACATACGCTTTTAATGTTACAAATAATAAAATATGAAAGCAAAATGTTAATGAAATATTTATATTTTTATCGTTTATTAATATTAGAACCTTTTGATTTTATAAATATATTATTTGATATGTTCACTTTTTATATATTATATGCTGATAATATTTTAATTCTGTAAAATATTACCTAATTAAAAAATTTTCAATTAACATTAAAAAATATTAATCACCTAGAATTTTATAAGAATGTAGAGATATAATAAGAGACCAAGGAAGAAACACCTGTCAGATGTTGGAAATAGGAAATAAAAAGACAGTGTCAGAAATGTGGTATTACATATTTTGCATTTTTCTTTTTTATATCATAAATATCTATCCTGAATCTCTGATTCTCTCTCTCTCTATGCGAACTTTCTCGGCGCTAGGGATATAAAGGAAAATTCTCTATTGCTTCTCTGCTTATATAATCCGCGTTTAAATTAAATATATTAAGGCCCGATTGCACCAACGTTATTTTAGCTTTAAGCGAGACTTAAATATATATCCATCTTTATCTTTCTTTCTAAATAAATGAAGACAGATATATTTAAGTTTCGCTTAAAAGCTAAAATAACGTTGGTGCAACCGGGCCTTAAAGAACTGCTTTTCGCGTGCCAGATACCCGTTTTCTCGGTTTCATCAACATCTGCAATAGATAGTATTTCAACGCTTGTTTCGATATATGCCATTGGTAGACGAAAGAAATGTCTAAAACTCTTTCTTTTCTTTCTCAATCCAACGCAAAACAAAAATTGAATTACTATTGTAAACGCAGTGTCCAGCAGTTACCTATGTTATTACGAGACATGATATTTAATTGAATTATATATATATACATTGGCATAAAATTGTTATATCTCCTTTTCAGCGGATATATCACATTGTTTTGGATTTTACAAAATCGTCCAATTTTTCCCTCTTGTCTCGCAAAATTGATTTTTAATAGTTTTACTAATCGCGCCGAGCATATGTCGCTCTCTCTTTCATAACATACAGTGAGATCTCGTTACAACGCACCGCGTCGAAAATCTCTGAGCTGATATTGTTGTACTGGAAATTTCCTTACATCGAAATGCTCATGCATATTTTGGAACATTGCCATCGAGTTCAATAAAACTCTGCTCTGTCTATATTTCTGGTTTACAACAAAATTGCGCCGCGCTAGCTAGCTTGTCACTAGAACTTGGGATTTCAACACAGAAACCGCTACGAACGTTACATCAATTATGCGAATTTTTGTTACCGTGAACCAAACAGTTTCCTGATCGTATATAAGAACTGTTCTACGAATATCTGTCTACATTAACAGCCGATTAAACATTTATGTAACAGGGGATCGTTTCGCTATAAACATTAGTCAAAGTTAACTGACGTTTAAGCCGACTTGCTCTACCCCCTTTCGAAGACGGAGGAGCAAGCGATGGAAAAAAGAAGAAATAATAAATCACGCAGCTAAATCTCAGTTAACTTCAATTAATTTTTACGATAGCTGTTCACACACAGTGCAAAGCAAACGCAATAGAATTTTCCCCAAAGCATCGGTTGAAAACATTCAGAATTTCTCAACAAGAAACACGAGATTTTCCTTTACAAGTTGCTGTGTATAATTATACTGTAAATAGATGCACACACCGATAACGTAGCGTACACAGCGTTAATTATGTGGTTCCGTAGCGAGACCAAAGTGGCTTGTGCGCTGACAACTGCGTTAAGACCAACCATTGGCTTGTGTCTCATCTCAAACAAACTCTCTCAATGTTCTCTCTCGCTCTCTCTCTCTCTGTAATTGATAATATATATATGTATATATATATTAGAATATTTTTTGTAATGTGTCAAATGGGTCCCATAGCTGCTAATCACTTCACGTTTACGCCACTGGCCCTTGTTAGATGCGTCGACTCGTGTTCTCAATGACGTGCTCATTTCAACGAGGACGACAACTTCATCTAGCTAAAAACATTGAAGAACATCGAACTACTTATGCGTGTTCAAGTCTCCCTGCAGTCAGTCTGAATCTAATTGACAATGTGTATACCGAGGGTATGTGTGTCTCCTTGTTGTGCTGCTTGCTTGAATTTGTCCCTCCTTTCTTTTTTCTATCTTTCATATCCTTTTCTCTTTTATTCAATTTACTAAATTGCTACTATCGACTACATGTGTGTGTGTAGGTAGATATTATGCCGATACCAAGCGTACGATTTTTAGCGTGAAGGAACCCGCTAGTCTCATCTATGGTTCTTATATGTATACTCTAAATAAACTCTACATGTGATTCGTGTAGTTTTATAGAGTATAAATATATATTCGGGGTGTTTCATCATTATCACAAAAACCGATCGATACTCACATACCGTCTTTTTCTTATATTTTTTTATATTTAGTTGTATTTGAATATAGATTTTCATTTTATTTTAAATGTAGAGGACATATCATAGAAAAAAATACAATTAAAAAGGAACAGATCGAACAATACTTTTTTTAATGGCAAAACAAAAAAAGAATAAATTTTTCTATAACTTTAAATTAAATCGCATTTAAAAGTAATTAAAAGAACAGAATATCTTATTTAATATTTATTTATATGCGTAATACTTTTAATATCGAATATTTCCATAATTAAATTTCCATTAAATCTTTGTGTGCAAAAAACGATTTCTAATTCAGACACGTTATTACATCAGATTATATAAAAAATAAGATGGTGAGTAAAATGGAACACCCTATCCTTGTATATCAGGCTACAGTTTATCATTCTGCAGTTTGGACACAGAAGCATGAATGTATTCTCTTAGAATGCATGATGATTTTTTTTCTTCTTTTTACTTTCAAGTAAATAAAATGATTATTGCGTATATATTTCATCTCTAAAATATTTATAATAATAATTCATTAAAACGCATTTTTTAATGAAAAAGAAGTGCATAACACGCCGTGACATTTCTCTCAAGTTCGTCACACTATTCAATTTCAACGAAATAGTGTCAGTTAATTTTTTCCTATCAGAAAATATAATACGCAGTAAAATTGTATAATCATTTTGTTAATGATTTCTTTCAAGAAATCTAGTCTTAGATATAAAATATATATACAATGTGAAAAATGCCAAAATCTTTCGTTACAATTAGCACTTTTTAAAATCCCGTTTTGGTACATTCAGTGGCGGATCAAAATAAGAAAATGAGTGCCAGATGATTCAAAAATTTCAATGCTTTTCTTTTAAAACAAATTTCATACGTGTAATTATCAAATCATATATTAATAAAAAGAAGATCATATTAAAATTTTTTCATTTAAAATTAAATTAACAATACGCATATTAATTTATTTTTTTTTTGAATTTATGGAATTGAATCACAAGCATAAATTTAATAATTGTACACTTGCGAAATTTTCTTATAGACAATTATCACATCGAATAAATATTCCGCCACTGGGTACACTTTAATTTACTTCTAGAGAAGCAATATCGCTTGTTTCGTTAGATAAGTCTGTATTTGTCGCGTGTATTTTTAAATTACACAAGATTACGCTTCGTGGAAGAAGAAAAGTATCGCACCCTAGAATGATAGCGAGAAGTGTCACTCACATTAATACATGGCAATGTACGATATCGACGCGTATTTGCAATAATGGCACACGATTAAACACTAACGGTTATTAATTAACAGATCCGATATCTGTGAGTATAAGGTAAAACTTATGAATATTTTCATCGCTCTTTTGAAAGATCTCGTGCATACATTGTTACAAATTTGTATTTATGTTACAACTCGACGATTGCGAATACAATAAACGAAACGTAGAAGACGCGTGCGAAACAAAAATAAATAATCAACAGAAAGTTTAGTTCCCCTAGATATACTTAGTTTTATTTTTTTTTACAATGCATTAACATCTTGATTTTTTACATTAAGGCGAGGGTCACGTGAGTACTCTTTTTTTTTTTTTTCTCAAGCATCTCATTTGGCTCATCATTATCGTTATCTGCCGTCGCAGATGCACATACTTCGCTTCTTTCTCGCTTTCGCGTATATAATACTACCACTTACTCCTTTCACACTCTTTCAAATCCCCGGTGAAAAAAAAATTGCTCCGTAGATTTCTCGAGCAATGTTCCCGCTGTCGCACGCGCGCTTTGCAATCAAGGAAGCGGAAGAGGAAGGACTTCTATCTCGAGGGATATGTGTGTATGTGTACGTGTGGCACGTGCGCGCGCGCGCGCATGCGATGTTGCACGTGCAACTGTGTGGTACCATCGAAGCGATCAACATATCATCTTTTTACGAAAGCGTAATTCTTTTTTTCCTTTTTTTTTACTTAATATCACAAGGTTACGCCTAAACTCTAATTTATGCTCTAAGCAACGCTAATCGTATGTAACGTGTTATCGTGTCTCACGTTAAAAAGTACGGTTAAAATTCAAAATTATCCCCCTAATAAGCCGTAAGAATATATTGTTTGTGCTTCGTCGAACTCGCGAGGATCGAGACTATTGTAATCTCGATAAATCGAAAGATTTCGTTAGTTCTCGCGGATGCAAAATGATCTGTTTATGTGGACTCTCTCTCACGATTTGATTGGCATATATAGTTTACTTTTTCAACGTCTATGTCGTGTCTATTTCGCATTAATACAGAAAATAAGATTCATCAGAATCATATCGGTCTCAATCCTAGATAGAATTATTCTTCAAATATTCCGTTCAACGATCCAATCAATGGTTTTCATTGCATGTTTGCCGCTTCTTTTCTTTTAATTCGTCTTATAATCAGTGCGCGAATACTTGGATCATTCTTCTTTTGGGATATTTTAGATCAGCTGCTCAGTCTTTCGAACTCAGTTCTTTGATGACATTACATCAGGAGAAAAGGTATGTGTGTATGTATGTGTGTGTGTATTTGTGAGAGAGAGAAATAGATAAAGATAGATCAAAAGTTTTGTATTTTATTGTGCTCACATGTGTTGTTCAGTATAATAAGCACTCTTGGTCGTCGTTAAGCGCCCCTGTCATACGGCAATCAATCAACAGAGGAACGCCCTTGTTAAGATTAAGAACATCCGAAATCCAAAGTTTATAGAAATGATACAACGCGTGACCGCGAAGTACATTTTATCTAGAGTAATTATAGGAGGGGGAGAGAGAGATATGGCGGTATTATTATTAAGTCTACGTGGTATAAAACGTATCGTGATTCATTCAAGGTCGCGATGTGGATCGCGATGTGGCACGCGCCAAGTGGGCCTTCTCAAATGATTGCAATTCAGCACAATAACTTGTGTGACTTAACGTTCTAGGAGAGTTCGTCCGATCTCGCGCGTGTACAAAATTTTGTTCCTTTTCTTTTTTGCAAATCGACGAGGCGCGCTAAATAATGACGAGCGAGTTCACACGTTCGATTATCTCGAAAAACGCTCGCGCTTCCTCGCGATATTACCGCGATAGAGATTATAAGCTCGGACAGTGTACGATTGTGTGTATGTGTGTGTATACGGTCGTACAAAGTCAGTCTAAATTTAAACGAATGCGACGATTTCTCATCCGTTTCGGGATACGCTATCTCTATGACGATCGATCTTTTTTTTACATCAGGGAATTCGTACGCTGGTAGTAAGATGGACTCACGCTTGAAAGTATTCGCTTTAGTAATCGCGTGATACGTTTAACGGAGGGAGACAAAGAGAGCGAAGCAGGCACAGGCATGTGTGTTCGTTGTAGTCACTCGTGACTCCAAAGCACATTTACTAATTACTGACGACAAGATTCACAAATACGCTTCGACTCGATTCAACTCGCACATCATTGACTTCTCATCCGTCGATTCCTTCTAGTTCTTCTCTCATTATAAGATTAGCACGAGGTATCTCTTTCTCTGACTAAGACTATTTTATATTCTCAGATCATCCGGTTGCGCGAGAGCAACGCTTCCCGTAATCTGTGTATCAATCCCCATGTGTATGCATGTAATATGTATATATGCGTGTTGTGTACATTCTTCGTGTTAATAAACATCTGCTTTATACATGACGAGCTACACAGTGTTCGGCAAAGAGTTCTCTCTACTATTGTATCGTCGAAATCAATCATAGCAATACAATCATAGTGTATATATATGTATGTATATATATATGTATATATATATAGATATATATATTTATATTTACATTTACTATCTACATTATCTACACATCAACAAACTGTTAGTTTTAGCATTTTCATCGTGTGTGTTGAATTGTAAATTAGATTTTCTTTCAAACACTATATATCTCTTGCCTCGCGCATTTACCATCCATATCGTTGTCAAGCATTCACACTTTCATTCTTTCATCATTATTATTATTATTATATAATCATCTGCATCATTATTATCATCATTATCATTTTAATTATCATCAACACCATCATCATCATTATCATCATTATCTTTATATTAGTGTTAGAGGTGTCATAAATTCACGACTAGTTCGAAGTAACGATTATCGTATAAAGTAATCATAATTCTTCGACTCTCGGCCCACTTACAAAATCAAATTAACGAGCAAAGATCATTCGATAGAATATAAAAAAATAGAATAAATACGCAAACTTAAAAAAGACAGAGGAGTGAGGGACAATTAACGATAATCAGTAGCTACGTGATACCTATATAAATCTGCGTGTAAATAGCACGCGCTACGATTGCATAATTTCAGATGACAACCTCTTTCTTTTTACCGTCCGCATCCCTTTCGAGGCTGCTTCTCGTCAATTTCACCATCTTCAGGCAATGTCATCGTTGTCCCGTCGTGTCGACACTGACGATTCATTCTTCTTCTGGGAGAATCATCCTGTCTAACATTGAATGAGGATTCCCCAAATGACGATCGAGATAATCGATATCGTGGCAACATCGATACGATTTAACTTATCTGACAATCTCTTAGAATCATTAGTCTTCCTCTAATCTCTCCTAGACAAAGGGAGGGGGAGCGAAACCTTCGTGAGGTTCACGAGTTCAGGTTAAATTAGGCTGCGGTGAGGGCGAAGGAGCGACAGGTTGGGGGAATGAGGCCGTGTCCTATATGAATGCCCAACATTCCAATGTCTTGACGACAAAGTCTTCGCGGGGTGCCAATGGATCGTTGCCGTACGTACTGCAGGACTGCGTTCTGCCTTGGTACAGGTCACCATCCAACCAGAGTCCGAATTTGCCACTAAAAAAAAAACCATAAAATGTACCAACTCTCAATCAACAAAAGAAGAGAAAAGAAATGAGAAGTGAAAGATGGAAAATACTTACTCTCCAGCACCGATTGCTAAGCTTTCGTTGTTGCCTTTGATAAAGTATAGATTATCACCGGTCCAGTTGAAACATTGGAACCTTGGCGTAAACCTGAAGAGCAGGGACTCGCCGGTACCATAAAAGTGATCGCTCACGTGTAAAGCGCACGAGGTTAATGCACCGAATACCTGTAACAAAACAAAGTGACATATGATGTAAAATCAAAGAGAAAAAATACTACATTGCGTTTGTTCGATTTAAAGAACTCGAACAAATGAACCAGTAGAAAACCAATTTGAACGGATATAAAACATTCATGAAGCGAATAAACGCGCAAGCATATAATTTTGTGTGTGAATGTATGTTAATGTTTCGTTTCATGTTTCAGGTTAATTATGATGATTGCAAAGCTTTCTAATTAAGCGATTGATCTCAACTTTCAATAAACCTTGTGAATGCGTCGAGATTCTTTCTATATACAATATATAATTAATTTTTATTACGTTTTTGATAGAAATACGAGAAATTATTTCCATTAAATAATTACAATTTGTAAATAATGTGTATATTGCAATTTTTTAATATAATATATTGAGAGAATATTACGCATACACGTTTTTAACGCCATCATATAACATAAAATATAATGTACAAATAAGTGCTCGCAGAGTTGCAAGCGTATATATTACTTTTGTATCGAGGCTAATTTATAAAAACTGCATGTCTCGATCAAATTAAAAAAATCAACAAGCCTCTTCTCTCATTTCTATAATTTCAATTAATAAATAAGAGACTCACGTTGCCCTCGGTGTCCTCGATAACTAACAGAATCGGACTCTCGATCTTTGCCATTTTTCGATACATGCTGTTGAGGCTGAAGCCGTGCTGGCTGGTGCTGAAGACGAGAGTCCATTGATAACCTTCCGCCCTCGCGGGTAGATGACGACAGAGCTGTTCCCTATGCTCGTCACTGAGTATTTCTGTCGTGCCAATGAGATCGGGCACGATGATGTCATTGTCCAGGGAGATGGCACTATTCGCGTAGAGGACTCGCCTCACTTCTTCGCTCATAGACAGTACCTACGAAAATTGATCATGTTAGTAACATATCTCCGAATACAATTTTCAACAATGATACGTGTACTAATCGCTAATTCTAATCGAGGAGGTAAAAAGCTCAAAATTTTCTCTACCAATGACGATTCTAAAATGATCATGATAGAAACGGAACTGTGCTCAGCTTTGTGTTCTGTCATCTATATAAATATCGTTGAAGAGATATGTGTGAAATGGAAAACTCTCCTAATAAATCGAATAGAAATAAAAATTGTAATAACACATAATGTTTACTTTACTCTATTGTTCAATATATGTGTATACAATAATAAAATACTTTATGTTTTCTGAAAATCATGAGGAACGTAAAATAAATTGTTATAATTGGCATAACGGTTAATTATAACAATGAAATAATATGATATTGCGATCTCTAACTGAGAGTACAATTGATAAGCCACTGTTTCTTACAATAATATAACAATGTATATCCATTAAATAATAAAATATTGCTTTAACTATACATTATTATTTTGTTCGATTTAAAATTTTGAAAAATTTTAATTTTTTATTTCTTATAAATATGAAAAAAATTATATACTATCGAAAAATAATTATTCTAACATCCCTTCTGCTTCTGACCTCCTCAGTTCAGCTAGCATCTAAGCACATTTAGGGCACATCCAAGTGTGTGTCGTGTTGTACTTTGTTAACATGATCTCACGTAATCGCAGTAGGTGTCACGTTTATTCAAGTGAATTGCTGGGTAATTACTAACGTGGGAGACCGCATCGTGTGAAATGTGTGCCGATATTGAATTACTTTTGTTCATCGACTGTCACAGGGTGATTTTGCACGATTATGCGATACACGCGCGAGAGAGAATGCAAATTCCTCGCGGTACATCGATACGAGAAATTCGATTGAAGAACCCGAGAACCATAGAAGCATCATTACCATGGACGGCCTTGTGGTAAATCGTATCATGTAGCGATTGAATTCCATTTCTATGCCGAAATCAGATACTGAATCCGAAAATCGACTAAAACGTACACGAAAGTAGATTGTTAATAGATAAAAAAATCTGTAAAGATATTATAATAAGAATTAAAATAGAGTAATCGCGAATGTGAAAACAAACTTAGAGACTTATCACTCTAAATTATTAAAAAATTACAGATAAACTAAAATATATAATTGAATTAAATAATTATTCCAAAATTATAATACAAATATTTATTCGATGATCTTCATTGTTGTCTAATTTTATATTGTCTCAATTATTTTGATTGACTTTATATCGGAACATGATGTCACACGTCAATATTTCCAATATTATGACACATACTTTTTATCTCTCTAAAAAATCGCTCTAAAAAATTTTATTTTAATAAAGATAAATTAAAAATGATAATATATACATATAAATAACAATACAATCAATCAAGAAAAAACTTTTAAGAATACGATAAAAGTTATGATCAATTTCACAATCATCCTCTTCATTATAATTAATACGAAATCGCGAAAGATTCTATGCATCGTAAGATAAGAATGCAATTGATGCGGACAAACACCTCTGCGCATATGTAATACATGATGCTATCATACGTTGAATTATCGACACTCCCATTATCAATCTGAATATATTTGTAAATTTGACCAGAAGAATATAGAAGATAAATTCGATAACAATTTTATACGTATTTTACTACTGTCTCTTATATTTTATTTTATCATTGCATTGCAATTCTTATGAAATTGGCATAATTTGATAATTCTCGATATGATATTGTGTGTGTTATTGCAAAATATGCGTGCTTCTGATAACTATATTTTATATTGCCCAATATAGCTTGAAGATGCAGAGACATGTGAAAGATATGTGAATGATTTAATGGTCGATTATTGTTTACATTCAATAATGTTCAAAGAGTACTTTATAAATGATTAAAAGAGAAATATATAAATGTATCCTTACACGTCTTCATACTTGGATGAAAAATCTATCGTGCTCGCATATTATTCTCAGATTTACGTTATTTATGAAGAAAATTTTCCTCCTGTTTAATTCCATTCTCAATCAATGTAACTTTCGAAATTTATTTAATTTATTATTTAATTTATTATTTTAATTTTGCTGTAATAAAGTTGCATGTATCCGAGTTTTGTTTAGCTTAAGACAGATTTCAAAATAAATTGCAAACTTTTGTTATTAACTCTAACATTTTAATCGAATATTGCATTTTCAAAGATCCGAATGATGTCAAATAAAAAATAAATTGACCACTTTTTATTCATTCGATATATTCATTCATGTTACAAAACAATACGGATCGTGCCATGATAAATTAATATCAAATTTATATCATGGACGTAATAAGAATAATATCAGATGATATTATTCTTATTATTATGAATTGTCTCTCTTATCATTTTCATTGTATATTATCTATAAACTGAAAAATCATGTGCAAGAAAGACGGTATTTGTCAACATTATCAACTATTATCAAGCAAACTTGTTCTTCGTAAAAAAAGAGATGGAAAAAAACGATTCCGATAACCTTTGAACTCATCGTGGAAGAATTTCAATCTCTATTTATTATTAATCAAGCTGCTTTAACTTTACCAAATGATGTTATTCTAATTTTTAAGAATCTTATGCAAAATTAAATTTAAAAATCTCTACAAATATGTAGATGCAAGTTAATAAAATTAAATAAATCACTTCCCCCTCGGTCTGTCGAAGAAAAAGAAAGAGACACGAAATCTCGAACCTTATGCTATTTCTATATGTTTCTGCGCGCATGCGAGAAGAGAAGCCAAGTGATTTATTTATACGCAAAGATTGTATCGTAAGATGCCTATCGTGCTTTTGACATTCGTCTCTTTCGACAGATATAAAAGTATGATTGCCTCTCGATCGTTCTTTATTCATGCTAGGAAATTTTTTAACAATTATTGATTACTTTATCGAACGTGTTGCATTAATTTGATAGTGATACATTCCCAGATGTTCTGCGCAAACAGCTTGTATATTTATCAATTTTCTAATAAATTAACCGGGAGAACAGGATTGTATCTCGTCACAAACAATTTCTGAACTGTTATTCGTATGAAATATCACGAGAAGATATGTCGTACTTTATGGGAAAATTAATGGTTGAGTTTTTATATTACACATAATGACTTTCTCAGTTTGTGATATATTTAATCATATCGTGAACTAATATGATAATACTTTTCTTGCTCTAAACAATGAATATTAAAATATTTTGGGTTTTAAAAATAATGTTAGAGGGATAGAAACAATCGTATCGATAATCAGACAATCCAACAAATTGCAAGTTCAATCAATATCAAAATGTCTTATATATAAAAATATAAAACTGGTTTTTTCAAATGAGAAAATAATCTGTTTGTTTTTGTAATCTATACTACTGCATATTACTACTTAAATTCTTAAGACGAATATGAACAAACAAAATGATAAGATCGCGTGTTCTTATTTTACATACAAATCCATAGTATATAGTATCAATTAACGTTTCGCGATTAATACTCGTCTTTGCGATTATGTCGAGCAATATAACGACACGTGTTTGAAAATCCGAGAAGTTTTCATCGATCTTTGTGAAAGATCTCTCTCATCATAAAATATATTAAAAGAATCTTCTAAAAACATATATATAGGATGTCTTAAAATCATATTACTTTTAGCAATATCTTAAATGGGTTAAGAGTTAAATTTTTTCATTATAAAAATTAGATGTTAGATATATTTATATAGGGGATCATTTAATATTAGGACTAATCAATAACATCTGAGAAGGAAAATTTATCAAGTCCTTTAAATAACAATTTTATTTTATAAAGAAAATGTTTTATATTTCATATATATGTATATAGAATTCTATTAATAAAAATTCAATAAACAAATATTTTTTTATTCTTATTTTCTTTACTCTTCATTAAAGACACACACTCTTCAATACTCTCTTCAATAAAGAGAAAAACAATTTTATAAACAATATATTGCATATGATAAAAGGCAGAATTTTCTATATGCTTATACGAAAAAAGTTATAGGATCATCTTCTGACAAGAATTCTCTTTTAAGAGCTAATAAGTCAAATATCAAAATAGAACACAGAAGAACATTCCTTCGACAGTTTAACAATCATAGAAAACCTATTAGTAAAGTAAATTAACTGTGATTAGATTTTAATAACTGCAAAAGTCAACATCTTAAAAATAAAAATAATTTTCTTTGCAAAAATAATAATATATTAATTTCGATATACTGCAGTTATAAGAAAATTTACGTAAATGTATATCTTGTTTCTAATGTATTTCGTTGTAAATTACTTGCTAAAAAAAAGAATAGTATCTAACTAAATTTACAGACTTATGAGAATGATTGTACGTTCACAACGAGCGCTTTTAGCTTGAAGGAAAATCCAAATGTGTAGATTTTAAAGAAGGTCACACGATATAAATCTCTTTCGAATCAGCTGGTCACAGTTGATTTGATCGAGATCGAATAATAAAGTTAATGTTAAATTGTGAAGTTAATCACATTAATTTTATATAATCTAATCTATAACAAAATCTAATCTATAACAAAAAAATCACGATAACAAATTAATTTTATTGCAGCACATCTTGCTATAATCAAAAAACAATAATTTATATTATCATTATACGATGATTTATATTATCATAATTTATATTATCATTATACGATGAATCATCAAATCTTTCAATAAATATCGATGCAATCGATTTTATAAATAATGTCTAAAGCTGATGAATTCTAAATAATCAAGGCTTAAAAAAATATGCATCACATTGTTTTAATATATTTTCCTATGTTTCAACATTGTGCAAAAAGAGAAAAAGAGAGTATTACTTTCTTTACATATATATCATAATGCAAATATTTTCTACTATAAAATTATAAATAAAAGACGAATTAACATATAATTATTAAGAATTATATGCTCACCGTAAGCATTCTTG